GTCTGTGGGTGAGGTGGGGCACAGGTGCAGGCTTTGCTGGGGGCTACCAGCCACAGCAGCAGCAGGATGCTGGAGACCAGGGCTGCCAAGGGGGCCATGGCGTTCTCTACGAGATAGGGGGGATGTCAGACAGCCTCCTACCCCTGGGGGACCTGGAGGGAGACTAGGAGATTGGATTTGGGACTTAAAGAATTGGGAATCTTAGGATTTGTAAGTCGGAGTGGGAGTCCAGAGGAGTTTAGGGGCTTAGAAAGTTTGGTGAGTTTAAGGTTTCCTAGAGTTGCAGTAGTTTAGGGCATTGAGTGAGCTGGGGATTGCGGGGGGGGGGGGGGGGGGATTGTAGAGGTGCGCATTTTCTAAGTCAAGGAGTTGAGGAAGTCAGGGGAGTGTGTCAGGGTATGGGTTTTGGAGGAGGTCTAGAATTTAGGAGCTGTCACTATGAAGTTACAGAGACGGTGGGAATTTCAGGAAGCTATGGGATTCAGCGGCGGTGGTGGAAGGGTGGTCAGGGAGCTGAGTGAGTTTGGGAGTTCAAGGTGCTGCAGAGAGTGGGTGCCCGTGGCTGTTTCAGGGATTTGCAGGGGAAAGGAGCCTTGAGGTTTAGGAAGTTGAAGATTATGGACTTTTAGAGAATGGGCTGGGGGTGGAGGTTATGAAGCTGCGGCGGAGGGAACGAGCTACGGGGGAGGGGGCGAGCTGCGGTTTGAAGGGGCAATGAGGGCCTTGCAGGAGTTGGAAGCTGCGGGGACATTTTGCTATTAGGGGCCATGGGTTTGGGGCATTGGGCATGGCTTCCAGGGGTTCGAGGGAATTTGAAGTGTCAGGGGTGTCCGGGAGCACTTTCAGCCCCCTTTCCTTCCACCTTGCCCTTGAGCAGCCCAGGGTCCTGGTACCTCCGCAGGCCAGGCTGAGCAGCCACAAGGAATCCGGCCTGGACTGCTCGCCAGCACACAGCCAGGCCACCCTGCCCCGCGCCAGCCCTCATCCAGCTTACCTCTCGTGTCTGCCCGGCGCTAGATCGGCGGCGATGGCGGCAGCACGGCCTGAGCGGTAGGGGATAAATGTCCACGCGAGGGGCGGGGTTGGCGCGGAAACCACAGGCCTCCAGGCTTCCTGGATGCGTTACTCATCCGCCCACCATCAGCGCACAAGTCTAGGGGCGGGCCGAGGGCTGCCCAAAGGAGAGACACTCTCCTCCCCTCCTCCCCCTCCTCCAGCTCCACGTCGGGCACATTCCTAACAAGCCGGCCACCTCCCTCACTCTAAGGAAAGTGTTGTGGCTGGATTGCCCCCTACTAGTCCCTGAAAGTCCCTGAGGGCTCTCCAATCGCCCACATCCGCCAAACTCCCTATGGTCAAAGCCCAAATTAGTGCATGCCTTGGATCTTTATGTATCAAGTGTACAAAAATCCCATTATGGTGAAAAGGGGGACAGAGAAGAAAGAGTTGAAGAAGAGGCAGTTCTGAGATATGAGGCAGGTGAATGGGGAAAGAAATCAAAGTGAAGAGACTAAGGCACACCAGGAAGAATACGTGACTTAAGGCAAGCCTGGGATTAATAAACGGCCCATATGAGACTGGAACCCAGGCAGCCTGGAGCCTGAACCTGGCTCTCGCTCGACCCCTCTCTAAAAAACACAAGTAAATATCAGCATTTATATGGCACCAACTGTGTACCAGGCCCCTCGGTCATTTAGCTCATTTAAAGCTCACAGTTAGTCTCTAAGGCATTCTACAGATGAAGAAATAAGAAGCCCATTCTACAGATGAAGAAATAAGAGGCCAAGAGGGAATCAGCCAGGCCAAGAACTTTCCCAGCATCACAGGACATAGCCTGGGAATGAACTTAGGTTAACTGGTGCCAGGCATAACATTGTGCTGGCCAGGCAGGGGATGGTATCAGTGGATTACTGAGCTTTGATGGGGGGGGGGTGCACTGAATGGTGGTGAAAGAAGGGAGTGAGTCAGTAGAAAACCCATCCGCACCCCGTAGTGCCCTGCCCCTTCCCCACCACTACCAACCCACACTCCTAGGAGGGGAGGGTGGATGAGGCAATCCCTGCCCACCGGTTTCCCAATGATGCTGGCATCTTCCTTGGGGTCTTGCAGGGGGTTCTGAGGGCTGATTAGAACCTTGGTTAATTCAGGCAGAATAGAGCAAAAATGACGATAGTGATGAAGGCAGCCCCTGATTGGATCCTTATGTATCCTGGGCTTTGTGTAAATTATCTCATTCACTCTCCATCACCCCCATTGGCAATTAAGCTTGATTAACTTAGAGAGTTTGGCTCAATAACACCACCGGCAATACACTAAAAGCTAGCAGCAGCACTGTGAAAGTAAGCACTTCCCGCACGTCAAACACCATCTGTAAAGTCTCTAGATTCATCCCTGGTGACCTCCTGGCTCATTATTGTTCACGAACAAAGGGCTGTTAAAGCCTCAATCAGAATAATGATAGTACGATGTAAGGATGTAGGCTTAGGACTGGCTAAGTACTTGCCACTAAGTAACTGTCTCCTATGAGTTAGAGGCAGTTCAGTGTCTCATCAAGAGGGATGAAGAAACTAAGCCACCTCAGGGAGGCGGGGGAGGGACCTGCCTGGGAACCAGATTTCAAAGGGTTCTGTGGTAGGGACCAAAAAATAATAATAATAAAGGGGTGGCGGGGGAAGGGGGGGAAGTAAACCAAAAGCCTGTAGAAGCTGGTTGGGAAAGTGGGGAGTGAGAGTGAATGAGACAGGGGCTGAGTAACTAGCCTGCGGGACACAGAGGGAAGTGAAGGTAGGGCAAGTCCTCCCTCAGCCCCTCGCTGACCCTGCTTCTGATGCCAGCCCCTTTTGCTGACTGTTACCAAGGGAAGGGTGGTCCGAATCCAGGTGCTTCTGCAGGTTTGGAAGCTGGGGCAGAAGGGCGGAAGGGTTTTGTGGAGGTATGTTGGGGTGTGGGACCCTCCAGGGCACCAAGATAGCTGTGGGGTTCAGCTGGATGTGCAGATACCCGATGTGATCCTCCCAGTCTTTCCCAGTGTGTGGCTCTGACTGTGCCCATTGTAGAGAATAGGAAACTGAGGCCCAGAGAGGAATTCAAAGGAGTCCCAGAGTCTTACCTGGCTCTAGAAAGAAGGGAAGCTGAGACACTGATCTAGAGTCCTATAGGCCATTCTGAGGGTGGATGGGGGTTGACAAAGCTCCCAGCACACACACATGTGTTGGCACACACAAACACACACACACAGAACACTCACAGAGTCTTGTGTTCAGGCTCAGGTGGGGAGGGCACTTAATGAAAAGGAAGCCCTAGAAAAGCGCACATAGTAGGCGATGTGCATGTGTAGACAGCCTCTCTGACTTGTTGCTGGACACATCCACTGGTGCTACACATGTGTGTGCCTCAGTACTCCTTATTGCTCCATGTGTGTGCCTGAGTACTCCATATTGCTCCATGTGTTGCCTCAGTAAAGTGGTTCTGGGTTCTTGGTCACTTCCAAATGTGTTGTTAATTCTGTGTGCAGTGTAGTACCTGTCTGAGACATCACGTACACACCCTGGCATCATGTCCCTGGCACGCTGCCCAGAGGCTCTCTGCCAGCCACCAACCCTCTCCCTTGCCCCCGGCCGCCATGCCAGCACTAGGCCTCTCAGCTCCCCCTTACTCTCCCCCGCCTCCGGAATGTCACTAGTCATTTAGGAAATGAGGAAGGGAGTGGGAGCACAGGGGGAGGAGGAGAACTGAAGGTCCATCTGGTCACCCTGAGTCTGCGGGCTTCCTGTGCTTGTCGGGAACTGGGAGCCACCACCGCCCCCCGGCAGTCCCGCCGGGAATGCCATCTCTGTCAGCGCCAGGGAAGGCACAGCACCTTGCATACATGCCAGCCTGGCCAGGAAAAGACTCACTTCCCTCTACCTCACCCAGGGTGCAGGGAGAAGGAAAAGTCATCTTCTCCCCTGAATTTGTGTGTGTGTGTCCATAAGGGTGTATTTCAAAGAGTTGTGTCTCTAGTTATGGGTGTGCCTTTCTGTGTTGCATACTTTGTGTGTCTAGATGAATTTTGTCTGGGTGCCCAGGAATGTGCTATGGGTTTTGGTGGCTGGATGAATGAGTAGAGGGCCACGCACCTCTGTAAGTTGGGTAGTTCCTTCTAGGGGTGGACGCATGCCTCAGAGGTGTGTGTGTGTGTGTGTGCCTGTGGACATGGAGCACATGCCCAGTGTTACTGAGTGCACCTGCTTGAATTGTGTGCACCTCTGTGGTACATGGGTAATCTTTTGTGTGCCGTTTGTGGTGTGAGTTTGTGCAGGGAGAAGGCGCCTCTGTGTGTATGTGTGTGTGTGTGTGTGTATGTGTCGGTGGGGGAGATCCCAAGGGTTGATTGTGTGTCTCAGACTGTCACGTGCGTACTGCCCAGGAGTGCTCACTGCTGCACCACCCTCTTGAGACCTGGCAGACTGAATGTGGGCGGTAGTACAATTTTCAGAGTCAGCACACTTTGTGCCAGCATTGGTGGTCGGCGCCAACGTGCCTGGGCACCTTCAGGTTCCATTGCATAGATCCGAGTTCTGAGGGTTTGTGTGCGTCTCCAAGGGGTGAGGTTGGAGGGTGGGAAGCCCATCTATGAGGCTTAGCTGAGGGGCCCAATTACCACATGCTCAGTATACCCATGCACGCGCACACGTACACACGTACACACACACACATACACACACAGAGGCATACACTTACACCCACATTGATAACATCCATTCACTTATAGAAACAAACTTTCTCAATTCCGGAAATGTCCTCCGCCCAGTACCCTGTGCCTTTGCTGGGGAAAGCAGAGGCAGCATGTGTGAGACTTGGGGGAGTAGAAGAAGGGCCAGACAGGCAGGTGCTCTGGGTTCCATTTCTGAGCTGTTTCTGACTCGCCCCTTCTGGGAACTGGCTGTTCAGGCAGCTCCCACTGGGAGAGCTAGCCATCCTGCCCTGACTCTGCCTCCTCTGCCTTTGCTTCCTACCAGCTCAGCAGCACAACGTACCCTGTGGTTGTGAAGATGGGACACGCACACTCTGGGATGGGCAAGGTGAGTCCCTTGCTGTGGAAGCGTGTGCATGTTTGTATATGGTATCTGGATGTGTGTGCAGTAATGTTGTACAATTGAGAGGCCTGGGTGTCTCTGTTTGCACTTGGGTTTTCTCATATTCAGCTGATTTTGTCTGCCCCTTTTCCTAGGGTGCATTCAGGTGATGCTGTGCCCTGCCATCTTGCTAGGATGCCCAGCCTCGTGTGTGTGTGTGTGTTTAAGCCTGACTCTGTGTGGAACATGTTGCATGGGACCTTTGACGAATCAGGGTCTGGAAGTCCTATATGCGTTTCCTGCCAATTGGTTTTGTCTTTTCGTGTATGTGGAAAGCAGACTTGTCCTTTGTTAACTGTGCATGTCCAAACCTCTGATTAATTTATATAGTACATGTACAACAACTGATTTTTTGTTTGGGTGCCTATACGCATGTGTGGTGGACAGAAGTGGTTTCGCCCCCCCACACACAATTTTATTCCTACACCATACGACTTACCCATTTAAAGGGGAAAATTATATTGGCATTCTCGGAGTTGTATGCACACAATTTGTATCTGCTCACACATGTGTGAGACAGGAGTTGCAATTATGCATGTGTCATACACAAGTGCCCAGTGAATTTCTCATGCTTTCCTTACTTGCATCCTGTGTGCATACCCCTCCAGCAGCTCCCATTTCCCCAGTGCTTTCTTGTCTGGACCAGGCCCACCTTCATCTCTGTCTTCATGCTCACAGGTGAAGGTGGACAACCAGCATGACTTCCAGGACATTGCAAGTGTTGTGGCACTGACCAAGACATATGCCACAGCTGAACCCTTCATTGATGCCAAATATGATGTGCGTGTCCAGAAAATTGGGCAGAACTACAAGGCTTACATGTGAGTGGACAGCCAAAGGCCTGAACAGTGGTCCCATGCACTGCTGGCAGAGGGGGCCTGATCTTCCTGAGCCCTTTTCCTTTTGTCCCCCAGGAGGACATCGGTGTCTGGGAACTGGAAGACCAACACTGGCTCTGCAATGCTTGAGCAGATAGCCATGTCTGACAGGTGAGTGGCCTGAACTCAAGGGGTTGGGGTGACTGGCAGTGTGACCTCTTAGGTAAGGCACTTAGAGGCTCCCCTGCTCTTTGTCTTCTCTTGGCCAGGTACAAGCTGTGGGTGGACACGTGCTCGGAGATTTTTGGGGGACTGGACATCTGTGCAGTGGAAGCACTGCATGGCAAGGACGGAAGGGACCACATCATTGAGGTGGGAGCATCCGCGGATTGGTGGGGCATAGAGGAAGCAACAGGTGCATGAGGGCAACACTCCAGACTGTGAAGCACTCTGGCTCATAGGTCCCCAGTGAATGGCAATGCATGCTGGGATAAGCCCTTGCAAATGGTAAAACAGTTAACTCTAAACTGCTCTGTGAAGTCGGACTTCCTTGGCAGATGGCAAACACTTGCTCACCTAGAAAGTGCTCTGTAAATCGAGATATCCTTGCAAATGGCAAAGCACTTAGTGACCTTTTAAGGGTCACTGGGTGGCCTAGGTGGGCTTTGGCCACAGCTTAATGGCAGAACAGTAAAGAACAAAGGAGTGATTGGGAACCATTTTCTGTGAAGGCCCACTCTCAACTTGTCATACTCAACCTGGCAAAGAAAGTAGTGCTAGATGATGGGTCAAAAAAAATAAATGTGGCTGCATTCTAGTAAACCTTGCCTTCTGCACGTTGAATATGAACATCAGACCATTTGCACAAATCATTAAATCTTTTGATTTTTCATCAACTGTTAGAAAAATATCTATCACCTGTTCTTAGCTCATGGGCCATACTCATGAGCTAGCAGGCTCAATTTGGCCTGTGCATCCTCACTTGGTGAGGCCTGTGCGGCAGTACCTCATCAATGCCTTGTAAAGACAAACTTTCTCATGATGCATGTCAAGCAGCCATTAGGAACCTGACCAAGTGCGCTTGCTCTCGGTCGCCATGCCTTTTGCCAGCTGACAGTGTGTTGTTGCTAATGCCTGCTGTGCCCTTCCTGCCTGCCTCTGGCCTCACCAGAGTTCTTTTTGGTCTTTCCCAGGTGGTAGGCTCCTCCATGCCACTCATCGGTGACCACCAGGATGAAGATAAACAGCTCATCGTAGAGCTTGTGGTCAACAAGATGGCTCAGGCCTTGCCACGGCAGCGGCAGCAACAGCAGCAGCGAGATGCCTCCCCTGGCAGGGGCTCCCACAGCCAGGTCAGACCCCTGGCATTGAGCTAGTGGTAGCAGTGAGGCCAGGCCTGGGGCAGGCTGAGCCCTTGAACCCATCCATCATCCATAAGCTAACAGCATTACCTTTACACACAGGTGGTCACAATTCCCAGTTGTTTAAAAAAAAAAAATCTGCTACTTGGATTTCCCTGAGTTTCCCACCCCACAAAACTTCAGCTTGGCCACAAGTGGGGCCACACCCAGCACACAAGGAACCCGGGTTGTTCTGGTTGGCTAACACTTCAGCAGCTGGTAACTATTTTTAACCTCTCCTGCTCCATTCCTCTGCCACAGGCTCCTTCCCCAGGGGCCCTGCCCTTGGGTCGCCAGACCTCCCAGCAGCCTGCGGGGCCCCCAGCTCAGCAACGACCTCCACCACAGGGTAAGTGTGGAGCCAACTGTTTCAGTTCCCACTTCACCCCTCCCCTGGCTCATTCTCACAAATGTTCTCTCTGTCCCCTAGGTGGCCCTCCACAGCCCGGCCCAGGCTCCCAGCGCCAGGGCCCCCCATTGCAGCAGCGTCCACCTCCACAGGGCCAGCAGCACCTTTCAGGCCTTGGACCCCCAGCTGGCAGCCCCCTGCCACAACAGCGCCTACCAAGTCCCACATCGGCACCCCAGCAGCCTGCAGCTCAGGCTGCACCACTGACCCAGGGTCAAGGCCGTCAGTCCCGGCCAGTGGCAGGAGGCCCAGGAGCGCCTCCAGCAGCTCGTCCACCTGCTTCCCCATCTCCCCAGCGCCAGGCTGGTCCCCCACAGGCTACCCGCCAGACATCTGTCTCTGGTCCGGCTCCACCAAAGGCTTCGGGGACCCCACCGGGTGGGCAGCAGCGCCAGGGTCCGCCCCAGAAACCCCCAGGCCCCGCTGGCCCCACACGCCAGGCAAGCCAGGCAGGTCCTGGGCCCCGCACTGGGCCACCCACTACGCAGCAGCCTCGGCCTAGTGGCCCAGGCCCTGCCGGACGTCCAGCCAAGCCACAACTGGCCCAGAAACCCAGCCAGGACGTGCCGCCACCTGCCACCGCTGCTGCCGGGGGACCCCCGCACCCCCAGCTCAAGTAAGGGGACCCCTAGAGCAGCCCTCAGCTTGCTGCTCACTAAGCAGGTTCTGGCCTGGGGTATTGGGGGGCAGAGCAGCCCTAGTGTCCCCACTTTTCAGACCCAGGTCCTATTCAGCGATGCTGGCCAGACCCCTCCCCCAAGCTTTCAATCTGCCCCTCAGTCATCTGTCCCAGATCCTCTTGCCAGCAACCAAGGGTTCAGATTCCTCCTAAGGGGCCCTGGGAAAGTCCCCTGCCCACCCGCCTTCAGTGCCTCTCAAGAGCTGTCCCAGCCCAGTCTGCGCCAAGCAGATTCCCCAGAACATGCTCTGGGCTGATTCATTCCCCTCTCCCCAACAGTCTACGCTCATTTCTGGCCTGTCCCCAAATCCTGCAGCCTTCTCCCAAATCCCTTCATCACCATCTCTGCCTTCTCTGATCCATTCTACCTCCCACACACCGAAACTTAGCGCAAATCCTGTCCCGTCAACACCCCACCGCCAACACACACACACACACACACACACACACACACACACACGGCCCCCTCTCAGCCTGTCCTCCTAGACTCATCCTACCTGGAGCCCTCCCTATCACCTTTCCCCTTAGGTCAGACTAGCCTAGGCTTCAGGAAGGGTCATGCCTGTTCCCAGGAATCCCATATTGCTTTTCCACCTTGGACCTACCACCCTCCCAGCCCCAGGACTCCACCCACTCTGAGTCCTTCAGAGCATCCATCAGGGTCTAGGCCCATGGTGGTGGGTGGGAAGGTCACAGGCACAGCCCCAGGATCAGAGGGGCAGGGCTGGGGCCGGGCCTGGGGTAACATTGTGTTTCTCTCCCTTCCTCCCTTCCTCTTCCCCCCTTCCTCCCACGCCTCCACCTTGTCTCTCTCTAGCAAATCCCAGTCTCTGACCAATGCCTTCAACCTTCCAGAGCCAGCCCCGCCCAGGCCCAGCCTTAGCCAGGATGAGGTGAAAGCTGAGACCATCCGCAGCCTGAGGAAGTCTTTCGCCAGCCTCTTCTCCGACTGACACCCCTCCCCCAAGAACCCCCAAATCCCTGGGCAACCGTTCTCTGGGCCCCGGAATCCATTTCTCACCTTTCAGGAATCCCCAGATCCCTCAAGGACCCCCTTTCTCCTTGGTTCTCATTCTTCCTCCAGCTGCTCAAGTCCCTTGACACACTTCATGCCTGGTCCTAAAGCTCTGTCTGCCCCATCTGCAAACCCCCAGTCCTTGTAGAACTGTGCTCCTGCTCACTGCCAGATTGGCATTAGGACCTCCCAGTTCCCCAAGGCTGCCTCTGCAGGTCTTCACAGAAGGTGTTGCCCTCCCTGGAAGCTCCTGAATCCAAGGCCACCTATTTCTGGCCCTACCACCACCGAGTCTCCTCTGCAGCCCTGAGATTCCTGGAAAAACCCTATTACTGGTCCCCCATCTTCCTAGCATAGGAAACCCTCCTTTTGAACTCCTTTCCATGGCTCTCCTATCTCCTTGGAGATCCACATCTTCGGACACCACCCACTGCCCAGTGCCCCAAGGATTTCCCTTCACCCGCTCCTCCAACCCTATATTCAGCACTTTTGGGAGTTCCTCCCACTTCTAGCACCCTTCAGGTCCCCCCAGGGCCCCCCTCCCCAGATTCCTGCCTCTGACAGCAGTCTTTAAATATGCAAACTCCACCCACCCTCCCAGAATCCTTTGCACACGGAAGGCCAACTGGTCTCCCATTGCCCCCACCTTTGCTGTGACGTCTGTGTCTGTGACTGACGTGGCCTCCTCTTGTGCTGTGCTTGGCATATGTGGTCCTTGTTCATCGTGCCGCCTGTGGTGATGTGTGCAGTGATGCTGTTTGTGTGGTCTGCACCTTCCTCCCCATCTCCACTCCTTGCCTGGACCTCTCCCCTATCCCTCAGCGGCTCTGAACCCCAAGAAAAGAGTCAGGAAGCAAAATAAACAAGCAAAGGCCCAGCAGAATTCTGTGCTTCTTGGTGAAGAGAGAGGGGAGTCCTTGAACGGCGGGGGACACACAAAGGGGACCCCCACATCCATATGGGGTGCTGGGGACCCCCAAATCCAGTGGAAGACACATCAGGCACAAATTCCAGAGAGCTTCGGAGTTAAATCCCTGCCACAAATCCCAGCCAAAGGAGATGGAGGTGCTCCCCCAAATTTATAAGTATCCCCAAAGCCAAGAGCGAAACAAATTACGGAGGAGGCAGGGGTCTCAGTCTTTGGGGGATCCCCCAATTCCAGACAAACTGGAAGAGCACATTGGGGACCCCCTCATCTCCCAGGGTTGGGGATGGGGGGGATCCTGAGGCAGTATATCAAGGCAAAGGAACATTGATTGGTTGCTGGGTGAGCAGGACTCCTTGGCGTGGCAGCTGATTGGCCCCTGCTGGCTGAGGGTGGGGCTAAGGCACAAGGCGGGCTGCACTGAGGAGGCAGGCAGGCAATTCATCGGCCTGGGTGCGGTGCAAGGAGGGTTCGGAGGCACTCCGCTCAATCTTGGGGAGTGACCGCTGTAGCAGCTCAATCGTGGCCAGGATCTGGGGGCAAGGAGAAGTGTCTGAAGTCCTGTGGGCACCCTAATACCCCCAGGCCCCAAGCCAATGGGAACACACACACACACACAGAGCCCGGATACCCCTGAGGCTTGAGCATGATTCAGAACCACGTGTACCTCCATCACAGCCTTCCTCCATCACAAAGCCCCCAGGCGACCTTTACCCCAGCTCACCTGGGGGAAGAGGGGCCGCTCCTCACGCTGGAACTTGAGGCAGTCAGACAGCAGGCGCCGCATGGCCTTGGGGCAGTTGCTGGAGATTTTGCTGAGGTCAGGGGACAGGTAGCCTCGGCCTACCATAAAGATGATCTGGGCGGGAGGGGGGACAACAGCCATGAGGTGATTTGGTGTCCACTTGGGTGACTGTATCTATGTGTATTCTTGAAGGACACAGGGACTAATTCCAGTGAAATGAAGTTTCTAGGCTAAGGCACTTGGGCGGGGGGGGGGGGGGGGGGGGAGGATTTTGAGTACCCAGGGGACCTGGGGACTGGGGACTTTAGGGTGTTGGAAAGCCTAAAGGGATTCAGAGGTTTTGGGGCTTTGTGGATGCAGGACATGGTTGGAGAAGGAGGGGAGCAGGAGAGGTGCCTGAGTATAGGAGACCCAGAGGATTCATAAAAAGATGTCTGGAGGATTCTAGGAGTTTCCCTCTCTTGGGAAACATGAGGTTCCTGGGAGAGTTTGCTGTTTGTGGTCTGTGCAAAGGAAGTGGGGACCATGCATCAGGTGCATGGCTCACCTGGTCACGGCTGCCAATGTGGCTGTAAGGCAGTGAGCCGGTCATGAGTTCGTAGAGCACAACCCCGTAGGCGTAGACATCTGACTGGAAACTGTAGGGGTTCGGGTCCTGCATGCGGATCACCTCAGCCGCCTTCAATAGGCCAGACCAGACAGGCAGCGTGCGAGTCAGCAAGTGGCTGGCTTGTGGTCCCAGATGCCACAAGCCACAGCACATACAACTCAAGGTCACCCGGATGAGGGAGAATGTGAGTCATTCGGACCTCCATGGCCACTATAGGCATCCCTCCTTGACCTGTGTATCCCAAAACAGGAGCCCTTTCCCCTTCCGGGCCCCTAACTAGCTGGGCCAAACTCACCATCCAAAGCACAGAGCCTGAGGGCTGCTCCAAGGGCTGGGCCCCACTCCACCGTGTCTTCACAGTGGCCAAGCCAAAGTCACCAATCTTCACTGTGAGCCCCTCATGTAGGAAGATATCTGCCAGGGTCAAGGGCCACTACAGGGACTCCTAATAGCCATGACACTGCTCATCCTGCCTGGGCAGCAAGGGAGATCACATCAGTGCTCCCATGCATTGTGCCTCTGGACCAGACCACAAGCCTCTCAAGGTCACATAAACCATCTGCAGCATTGACCTGACAAGGAAGCGCCAAGGAATGCCTTCCACATGTGGCTCCTCTGTGGGTTGGCCAACAAGGTCCCTCAAATGACATAGAAACCTGTCATGCCCTGGTCAGAACTCTATCATGCCCTCCACGATTTACACACCTGTGACCCTGACTAGAGTCCTCAACAACAGCACTTGATCCATCAGCACTTAACTCCTGGCCAACGGAGGCCCCCCGCCCCACTCCGAAAACCTGCTCAACAGCCAGTAGGCATCTGGCATGGGTCCCTCCCTCTTCACCCCTGGAACACCACCCTGGTAGGAACCATCCCTCTAAGCCTTCATCTTGTGTGATGCCCCCATCCCAATTCCCACACAGAAAACAGGTGGATACTGTTAGACTTGAGGTCCCGGTGGATGATGTTCTTGGCATGGAGGTAGCTGTGTGGGCAGAGGCAGCAGGTGTTGAGTTGGCTGGGGGCTCCTGTAACATCTCTTTTCCCTCCCCATTCCAAACCCCAAGAGACTCACTCCATGCCCTGGGCAGTCTGCCGAGCCACGTCGATGAGTTGGACCATGTCAAAGCGTGTGTCAGCCACATGGAGGTGATGGTAGAGGCTGGAGCCCTCACACCATTGGGTGATGATGGCAAAGCCTGGGCGGGTCATGAAGCCCATGAACAGCAAAATGTTGACATGCCGGGTCTTCCTGTGGGCGGGGAGGGTGGTGTTGGGCATGGGGAGTAAAACTAGCTATTATCATGCACTTCACCAAGAACATCAGGAATGGCAATGCAGCTGCCTGTTACTGTCTTTTATTAATTCCATTTCACCTTGTCTTAGGGCACTCAGGACCAGATGACTGCCAGCTTCCACCATTGTGACATGTGTTTCCTGGGCTATATGTTTCTCTGCTGGGGACTTGTGCCCTGAGCTTCCTCACCCGAGTCTCCTAAGCAAAGCAGGAGGGAGGGAGTTATTAGTCCCACTCCCTTGCCTACTGCCAGCATCTCCAACCATTAACATCCTCTACCTCTCTGCCTCATACTAGTACCAGGGCCTGTGGCCAACCCACTTCACTGAAACACCAACACTGAACTAAACGCACAGTGCCTATACTGATGACCTGGCAATTACAGCCTGTTAGTCACCAGGAAAGCCTCTGGGATGGAGTGTGGGATCCGGACTCTTGTTACATCCTGAGTTCACATCTGTACTTCACCCAGTTACTGCACAGCCTTAAGAAAGACATTTGCCTTCTTGGGGTCTCAAGTGAGATCCGGTGGAGCAGGGAACAAACAACCTGAAAGGTGCTTAGAGCAGTGCTGGACCTCACTCTCCAGGGGTGGGGCCTGTTCTGTCACAGCACGCTCAGCCCATGCTTGGGACACCAGTATTACATAGTGTAGTGCCAGTCAGAGTCCCAGGCCCTTCACTTCAATCCAGCTTACTGCTAATACACACCCTGAGAGGCAGCAGATGATGGTTTAAATAACATGTGGACCCTTGCCACCCACATGGGAGACTGGGAATGAAGTCTGAACTCCTGGCTTCGGCCTGGACAAGCCCTGGCTATTGCAAACATTTGAGGAAGTAAGCTAGTAGATGCAGGTTAAGCCTCTGCTTACAGCACCACCATTCTCATCATACCTCTCTCCATCAGAGAAGATGACAGAGCACGTGAGGATTCCTAACAATGACTAAGATTATGGCTAAACAAGAGCAGCACTGAACAGCGTTCAAATCATTGCCATCTCATAGACAGGAACCGAGAATAAGAGTTTCCTACTGTGACATGCATGCATTATGAAGATCAACATTAAGATCACACAAGTCATGATGATGACACAAGACTCTGGGATATCACCAACCCCACAGGGCCAAGGGGAAAAGCCTATGTTTATAGCCCTAGCAGTGATGGGGATGGTACAGTAGGGCCCCCACATTATATGGGAATTTGGGCCTATGCTACATAGACACCATAGCGGTAAAAAAGGGACCACCCGGGCTTCTCAGCATGAAGGAATCAGTAGTAGTAATCACATATTCATTATGGCAATCATGATACTAGACAACAATTAGATTATGAGTAGGATGCTAACGATAAGTGTTTTCCAGATACGACTCAGGTTAAGCAACAGCGAGAACACAGCATAATAATGTTCCATTAATGATACGGTCCAAGCTAGCAGAGAGAAAGACAGGCTCCTCATGCCAGTGCCCATAACACTGCAAGTCATGGTCCCTACCTGAGCCCTGGTCATAGCAGGCAAATGGCAAGACCCGCATTTTGGAGACAGGGCCACTATTTCCTATAAGCATTCACTGAAACACACACACAAGCACTGGGAGGGGTCTCCTAGACAGATCCAGGTGGTGCTGGGAGGGAGGGCAAGATAGGAAATCGACTTCCAGCCAGGCTTGGAACACAACCCAAATGCCCATCCTGTTCAGGCAGACCCCTGAGCGTGGCTTTCACCCAGAGATGCTCAGCTGCGCCACACATACGTACTCAGTGCACATGTGCAACCTCACCTGAGCACCTGCATCTCATTCTTGAAGGCCTGGGCCTGCTCAGCTGTGGGCTGGGCCACCTTGAGCACCTTCACAGCCACGTCGCCGTGCCACCGGCCACGGAACACGGTGCCAAATGAGCCTGTCCCGATCCTCTTCAGCAGCTGCACCTCACTGGGGGGCACCTCCCAGTAATATCCTGAGTCCCGGTACCCCAGGTTCTTCTGTGGGCCAGACAGGTGGCATGTGAAGGGCCTGGGGCCTGCCCACCTCCCACCGCCCTCAGCCTGCACTGCCCTCCAAAGCTTCCTCCTTGAGCGTACCACTTTCTTCTTGTCATCAGCTGTGGACTTCCGCTCCCGCTGCTCAGATGGTGACTTGGAATGTGGGGACTTCCTCCCCGAAGACACACTGGCTGGGCTGGGGCTCCCCCGAGGAGCTCCATCACCGCCACCTCTACTACCAACAGCTACAGTGATGGAGAGCATGTGAGTGGAGGCAGGCAGGGTGGAGGCGGGGAGTGGGGGTGAGGGCAGGGTA